GGAAGGAGTGGAGGGGGGAACATGTTTTTAAGACTGTTTTATTTCTCACTCTTTTGCTCTTATCCTGTTAGTAATAAATTTAAGTACTATCCCCACTTTGAGTCTGTTTTACCTGTGAAGGTAATCAGTAAGTGACCTCCTCTCCCAGCTCTTATATCAACTCATGAATCCTTCACTGTTTTTTTAGTCTCCTCTGTCCAGTTGCAGAGGGAGAGTGAGAGAGTGGCTTTAGTGGGTACCTGACATCCAGCCGGGGTCAACCTACTACAATGCTATGGAAGTGTCTCAAAAGAAATGCATTTCCAAAATACCTTGTTGCCGGTTAGGGTTTCTCATATGACTCATGGATTCACTTTCCAATCTTTTGCTGTTTTCTTTTGTGTTCTTTTCAAACTATCCAGGAGTCACAGTGGAATTTTTTTCTTTTTTTTTTTTTTAATAGTTCTGAGGTGCTGTTAAGATTTGAGATGTATATGTGACAAGACAAGGGGCAACGGTTCAAACTGAAAGAAGTGGATTTAGTGGCTCTAGATTGGACATAAGGAAGAAATTTTTTATGATGGGGGTGGTGAGGCCCTGAAACAGGTTGCCTAGAGAAGTTGTGGATATCCCATATCTGGAAGTGTTCAGGGCCAGGGGCTTTGTGCAACCTGGTCTAGGGGAAGGTGTTCCTGCCTATGGTGAAGGAGTGGACGATCTTTGAAGGTCCCTCCCAACCCAAACCATTCCATGATTCTGTGCAATGCTGTGCAGTTTGAATGCTAAGCATTCATGCTCATGCAACTAGAGGTATGTGCTGTCACACCAGTGACTTGGAGGGCTGAACTCTGGGAGAGAGCAAGAGGCTTTTTGACAAGTGAGCTGTTTTTTTTGAGTAAGCTTTTAGTAAATCAGGGATGATTATTTCCACTGCAGCAGTTATGTACAGTCTAGTTTTTTTGTCTGTTTTAGTGCTGAACAAAACATTTTCTCCTTTCACAATTTCTGATATAGTTGCCCCAACAAAGACAACGATTAAAGGTCTATTAAAGCTGTTGCCACCCCAGTGTGTAGACTGCATGCATTGATCTTTCGTGTGTTTGCATCAGATATGCTTGTCAGTTCACATGTAGAAGACATTATTCTTATTGTGGTTCAGTGGTACAATAAATCCAATTTTGAGGTTCATGTTACTTGACTGAAAGAGCATTTTCTGAAGGATTATGAAGTAGTTGTATGGCATGCATTTATATAAATGCATTGCACAAAGTGCTGCTCTGGTGTTACCTCTGCTGTGTCAAGTTGACCAAATTTTTTCCCCCTACTTTCCCCACTCCCCTGCAAGAGGGCTTTATGGTGAATGAGTATGGTGGATTGACCCTGGCTGAGTGCCAGGTGCCCACCAAAGCTGCTTTATCACTCCACTACTCAACTGGGCAGGGGAGAGAAAATATAATGAAAAGCTCCTGGTTCGAGATAAGGACAGGTTGAGATCACTCACCAATTACCATCATGGGCCAGACAGACCTGCCTTGGGGAAATTAGTTTAATTTATTGCCAATCAAATCAGAGTATGATAATAAGAAATAAAATCAAATCTTAAAAACACTTTCCCCCCAATCCTTCCCTTATTCCCAGGCTCAACTTCATTCCTAATTTTCTTTACCTTCTCCTGCCTGAGCAGCACAGAGGGACAGGGAATGGAAGTTGTAGTCAGTTCATCACATGCCTCTTTCGCTCCTTGCTAGTCAGGGGGAGGATTCCTCACACTCTTCCTCTGCTCCAGCATGGGGTCTTCGTCCCACAGGAGACAGTTCTCCAATGTGGATCCTTCCTGGGAGCTGGAGTTCTTCAGTATCTCCAGTGTGGGTCCCTTACATGGGGCGAAGTCCTTCAGAGACAGGTTGCTCCAGTGTGAGTCTCCCAGGGTGTCACAAATTTTTCCAGCAAACCACGTGGGCTCCTCTCTCCATGGGTTTGCCAGTCCTGACAGGAGCCTGCCTGGGCATGGGCCTCCTTTGTGCATCAACCTGCTCTGACATGGTGTCCTTCATAGTCTACAGGTGGATCTCTGCTCCACCATGGATCTCCATGGGCTGCAGGAGGACAGCATGCCTCACTATGGTCTTCACTATGGACTCAAGGAGAATCTCTGCTCCAGTGCCTGGAGTGCCTCCTTCCCCTCCTCCTTCACTGACCTTGGTGTCTGCAGGGCTGTTTCTCTCACTTATTCTCACTCCTCTCTCCAGCTGCAATTGTGCAGTTTCCTCCCCACTCCTTCTTAGCTATGTTATCCCAGAGGTGCTGCCACTGTTGCTTACGGGCTCAGCCTTGGCCAACAGTGGATCCATCCTGGAGTCAGCTGGCATTGACTGTAATGGACAGGGGGGAAGCTTCTGGCAGCTTCTCACAGAAGCACCCCTGTAGCCCCCCTGCTACCAAAACTTCGCCATGGAAATCCAATACAAGGGGCTAAAGCCTGTTTGTGCCATTCTAACTAGATGATGCTGGATCATGTGTCATTTATCCCCCTACAGCCCCTTAGCATGGTGTGTGGCTACTTTGACAGCAATGGCATCAGGTGTCTCTCCACCTCGGTGGTCTAGCAATGCAGACAACTGCATGGTACTTATGATCACAGTAGCATAGCCTGAGATATGTACATTGGACATTATTGTTAATAATCCACTAGCAGTATCATCCACCTTACCTAAGGGTCTTTTGCGTTACCAAAGGGTGAGAAGATTAAAATTCTGGAAGTCACAGGTAGGAAAGGAAAAAGTTTACTTACTGGATATATAAAGGATTGGCAGACTTTTTACAGCGGGAGCGTACAGGTAGGGAGAGATTTAAACTCTCACAAAACTCCAAGTGAACTCAAAACCATCATTAACTAGGGTATTGGACAGCATCTCTGACCACACAGGCAGGTAAGTGCCTGTAGCTTATCTGGTGGATTAAGAAAGGGAAGGAGGCTCTTTTTCCTTCTCATCTCCCCCGATAAATAGATTGGCTACCTTTTGTCTCTGTCACTTGTGGCTTTATAAAGCTTTGCATCAGTACTGTCTGCCCCAGATGCACACTTTTAGCTGTATGCCCAGGACCTTGTTTGAGTGCAAATTTGAGAGCTTCCCATTATTGTGGTTGTGCTTGTAACAGGAGTTCTGGAGGACACATGCAGAAGATAAGCACTGACACATTTCTCCAGGATATCCAAGAAGCAACTCAGTACATTGAAAATGAGTTGCACAGAATAGGTATCCCCACTGGAGAGGAAGGCAGTGAACTACAGTCTATGATGGGATGCTTCAAGAGCTGCTTTGTTTTTTGTCCATCTGTGCAAGTCAGGTTCTTGCAGTGCAAGACTACATAGTCTTTTGACCTGAGTAAAATGTCCTCAGAGGCAGTTCTTGATACCAAAAAGTTAGTTACAAGCAGAAACTCCTCTTAGGGTCAGGTGTTGTGTGAAACTTAAATGCCATGCAGTTGGTAACCAACCATTCATACTGGAATAAATTTCACTCTTTACCACTTGTAGACTCCCATTAAATATTTAATAAGTGAGGAGGATAAAAGCAGGAGCTATAGGTGCTTCAGGACAGAGAAGTTGCTGTCACAGAGGAATGACAGCACACTGCTAAGTTGTGCAGCTTCAGTGGAGACTTACAGTGTTTGAAACCCCTTGGGAATGTTTTGAGAAGAGAGCTTTCTGGTTTTGGCCCAGAAAAACTTCTTTTAAGGATGCTTTTACCTAATTTTCAGATAGCCAACCCCCACCTTAGTTATAAGATAATTTTGTCTTTACCCAGACCTCTTCTGTTCTACCCATCTGTTCACTGTGCTTGGTCCCAGTGGTAAGGTAAGCATTTAATCATGTCTACTAGCCTGTTAGCTTTTTAGAAAGCTTTTCTGACTGGGCAGAAAGAGGAGAATCACAGAACTAATTACCTGTTTCTGCTGAACTCCCTAAGGAAACTTAATCCCATCTTCCTTTGTTAGGTTTTAGGTAGGAAGAAAGGCAATGGTGGGGCTGCTTTCCCCCAGATCCTTGTCTTCTTTTTTCAGTCTCACAAAATAATGGGACAGGAAAATGGTGGTACTTGCAGTACTGCAAAGTGGTTTATCTTCTGCCTTGCAAAGGATTTAGTAACCTTGCTCTCTGCTGGACAGTTAAATCCCAGCGTCCAAAGGACAGAGTCTACGTGTTGTATTCTGTTGCTTCTTCTTTCTGTTTCAGGCTGACTTCCTCTACCTTCTCTGTCTTCATGGACACAGACAGAGGGTTAGATGTTTTGCACACATGCCTGAATTGTCCTTGAAGGGCATTAAGCTAGTAATTTCAGGCACTCAGGAAAGGTGCATCCATGACAGCAGAGTGCACACATTTGCCTACAAAACCCACTGAAGAAGATGCGTAAATTCTTAGGGCAGTTAAATAGTCCTTACCTGAGTGCATTTAGCTATGTTCTACCTGAATTAAAACCACAGAAGAGGCAACTGATGAGACTTAAGGGCCAGTTACCATGAACCGTGAAGAAGCACGTGGTGGGGGGAAACAGTTTTCCCCCTAATACCTAAACACTTCCTGAAAACCAATCATAATTGTAGGAAACCTTCAGCAATAACAAAAATACTTGTTTTCTCCTGTTTAAACTTGCTAATGTGCATTTCCAGCTCCTGTCTACCAGAATGAAAAGGAGTTTTAGCAAATGAATAGAAAAGCCTTGCTGCACTTTCCACAAGACATCAAATGTACAGGAGAGCAAAACGGGTGACACTGTGCTTGGGTCCCAAAGCGCAGGGTACACCTGTGAGCTGTATTTCACACAGCAGCAGCTAATCAAAGCTGGGTTATTGCACCTTGTTGCACAGAGCTCTTTGAAGAAAGCTGGTGAGTACTGGCCACTACTGAGCAGAATACGTGAACTGAACTATCAGGAGGGAAACATTACGTTTCATTTATAGGATTACAGTCAAATGCTTGAGTATTTTTTTAATCAACAAATCCTAAACAATGCAAATGCAAAACAAGTATCTCACAGTGTGCTTTTATTATATTTCACAATATAAACTAGACAGACATAGAAAGTTTAATGGCAGCATGTTCTGATAACATTTGAAAGACAAAGAACAACATAATCATATTGAATGATGATAAACTGACAAACTACATTACCATACATACATCTCCAAAGATACTGGATAAACAATATCTGCTTATGTACATTTATGCTGGTGATAATTAAAATTCAAATATGCAGAAAAAAAAAGAAAAAATACGCTATTTAAATTATAAAAATATACAGGTTTTGTGTGGAACTCTTAATGCTGTACTACTTTTTGAAGATAATTTCGTTGTGTCTTGAAGCTGCATTAACTTAGTATAGAAGTGTGATTTAAACCAAATACAGATTAAATTAGCTCTTTTGTCTTCCTTGTATTTAGCTTTGTTGGAAAGAGAGATAGGAATGAAAAACAAAGCTAGGCTTTTGCAATGAAAAATAATTTTTATATTCATAAATTAAAAGATGTGTAAATTTTCATATAGTACTGAGCCTTAAACTCATTATACAAATGAATCATTTTCCTAGTTTATTCAGAGATAGAGACAGGAAAAATAAGAAAGGCTTTAAACATGCTACTTTAGTATACTTTTAATCAATAGGACCTCTAGGTTTGTGGAGTGCAGGTGCACAGCTAAGCAGAGTCGTGCCTCAGGGTCAAAGCATGCAGTCCAGACTCACTGCCTCAGCTGGGGAGACTGTGTGCATGCAAGGACTGGGGGTACTGGATCTGTGTTCTTTGAACTGCATCACCTTCATGTTGCCTTTGCACATTAGGTTTCAGACATTTCTTCATAATTGTTCCTTATTAGTGCAAACCTACTAAGGCTACATAATCCCCAATCACAACAGCAGATTGATGAACTTTTATAGACTGGATAATTTTATAATAATTTACAAATAATTTTGTAACTGAAAATTTTTAGTAATTGTAGCCACGTAGTGCACACATTTGTAGCTGCTTTTAGTCAAAAGTAATTTTCAGACCGTCTTGGGTGAACTCCTGCAACACATGAAACTACAGATTTTCTTACATAATAATGACATTCGCCATATCTTCCAGCCCCCTTCCTTATCTGTATATTCTCTGTTACCTCGACAACCCCATTAGTCCTTTGGTGGATCCAGTGCTTGTTCCATTAAGAAATGTACTCTGTGTCAGCTCTGGTTTAAGAATGCTTTGCTACCAGAATTTTTTTTCTTGTTTTTCCATCTTTTCCTAAGTTACTGATCTACAACAGATCTTAGATGATCTCATAGATTATTCTTTTCAGAAGCAAAATATTTTTCTTCAATATTTTCTTAATAAATGGAGTGAAAAAGAATTAAGGACACATAAGCTGAATACAGCAAAATCAAGTATTTCTCCTCAATGCCTAGAGATTTGCTGTTTTGCAAAAGACTGCCTTCAGCATTAACAAAGTTCTGCAGAGAACTGTGGGGTCTCTGTAAGCTTTTTCTCTGCCCTTATATCATCCTTTTTCAATGGAAAGGATAAGAGATAAACAAATGCCAGGTAGAATCATGTTTAACCAAGAAGGTTTTTCAGTGATCTGTTTCCCTCCACTTCTTGACCTTTTTTTTTTTTTTGCTTTTACAATTTGGATATGCCAGGAGTGGACTGAAGTGTAGTCTTTGAGTGTGGAGGTCTATAAGGCATTTTGTGGGGAAAAAAATCTTACATGAGAGTGTAATGAAGAGTAGGAAAGACAAGAATGATTGCAAAAGAAATGCAAGAGTGAAAGGAGAGGATTTTATTTAAGAAGTTCAAGCTTTTATATACATTCAATGTTTCTAATATGTTTCTTAATAAATGTATTATCAACTATCATTATACCTAATGCAGCCACAATACTGTACTATTCTGCAGTCAGGATGGGAAAACTCCATTGGCTCTTTAATAAAATAAAATCAACAGTCATCATGACTCTTCTTTTTGCCAGGTATTAACTGATACACTGGGAAGTCCAGTGAGTAGACACAACAGAACACAAAATCGTCAGTACTTATTTAAATGTGTATCATGTGTCATCTTCATATTATTTCTAAAGCAGCTTTAAAAAAACTTCAGCCATTGGAAGGTATTAAAAACTAAAACCCATTCAAATTATCCTGGCAGTATAGCAGCACTGGAATTGATACTTTTACTACTTTTGACAATGTAAACCTTTAATAAAATAAACAATATTGAAACAATTTGAGGTCTAATAGTTAATAAACTTTAATGGGCAGATGGGCACAAATTGAAACAAAGACTAGATTGTGAAATGAAACATTAGCTTGATACCAGCCAATTCCAGTTGTGCAATTGGCTGCAGACAAATTCAGCTTGGAAGCTGAAAGAAAAAACAAAGCCCACACTCAATTCACAATATTCAGTTCCTCTGATTTCAAATATTTTTCATACAAATCGTATATGAGCATCCCCACTTCTGACAGAAGCACTCTGAAAGCATTGCAGGTACTTTTTGTTTGATGGTGGGATTTTTCCTTTTTCTTTAATCAAGCATAGTTCACATTTTTGCGTTCTTAAAAATATTTCCTTTCTAAGTTTCTATAAAATTAAGTAATTTCAAATTTGAAATGTAAGCTTGCTCCATCTTATCTTTGCTCATACAAAGTGTAGGTGCCATGACTAAATAGCAGTAAAAATGCTGAGATGTACAACTCTTAAAAAAAACAACCAAACATAAAAGCAGCTTTGAAGACTCAACATCAACTACAGCCTTAACATTGAACATATTACATTCCCGAGTTACAGGAGATATTTTGCATATAATGCCACAAAGTTATTCAACTGAAATCTTGAGGTTGGAGCTACAGTTTATTCACTGTATGTTTTTCACCTTTTGAGCACTTATGTACTGTATGGTACATTTTATCAAGAGCTTTGCAATCTTTCCTTTTCTATCTGGATGTTCATTTACCCAAAAATCCCAGATTTCAAAAGTTTCATAGAAAAAATAGAAGCGCAGGACTTAAAACATTTGAAGCTGGACATTTCCATGCTTCAGAACAGCCCCTGGGACACGCTTCAGAGTCTTCAGTTTCTAGGGGACTCCCGGCCCCCTTCGAGCTCACAGAAAGCCCTGCTTTAAAAGGCATTGACACATCTGGTTTCAGAACACAGGTCTGTTTATAAAACTGTATTATGTACTCTGCATTAATTTTACTTGCGTTGCATTTTGTAACATGAGCAGATGACTTCACACCTCCCACTCCCCCTTTTCCTTCACCCTATTTTCACTTGAGATGACAGTAGGCACCTGCCTGATCGAGGTGTCAGAGAGTCTCTGTCCAGAAAGAGGATTTTGAGTTTCTTCATTATCTTTTCTTCTGCAGACAGTCTTAGGAAATAATTGGCATGAAATAATTTTTTAGGGCGAGGGGTGGGATGATAAATCTCACTTTCTTTTCCTGTTATGAAAACGAACTTGATTTTGGTGTCCAGTTTGATAAACAAGGATAGTCAGAGCTAATCTGTAACTTAGCTGAGGTCTGCTTCTTGCCAAATAAAATTAAGATCTTTTTCAACTTTCAGGGATTTAGAGACCATATCTAATTGGTTTCAAACCCCTGGAGGAACTCTGTAAGTAAGCAGGATTAGTTGCAGATATGAGCCCACTAAAGTGGGACACAGGTCAGGTCTTCAGACTCTAGCTCTGCTCTGTTGAAGCAGGCACTTAAGGTCTCCTGATGTTTCTGTGTCAGTAGCCACAAAAAACATTTTACTGCTGAGAAAATCATTGGAACAGCAATTTCCTGCAAGCCCCAAAGATTTAACTTCACACTTATTAAAAAAAAGGTTGACATGTATTGTGTGGGTATTGTGATTATGATGGGATGGCACAACTGATAACTGGAAAACACCTGTTTAAAAGGCATAGACAATCATATTTCCAACTGTTGTCCTGTAGGGATAGCCGAGTGGTCCTTCAAGAAGTCTCCATCTTGACTCCACATATGTACCATGTTGAATTGTTTACTACATCAGTTCTTGCCAGCAGGACAGGGTGAGAACTTTGTTCATGCTGACCTTGTCTTTCAGATCCCTCCCAGAAAATGCAAGGAGAATCAACACAATTTTGCAGGCTTTAGCAGCTCAAGTAACTGCCCTCGTAAGTGTAAGCAGGTAGGTCTTTGTCAGTATATTTGCTCTTCAGAGATAAAATAATCCAGCCAGTGACATTAATTAAAAAAAACCCAACCAAACCTAAAATACTCTGGGGCTCATTAAAATTAAGAATAACAATACGATGCGATGACAGATACAACTTGCTGAGGTTCTGAAAATAGCAGGTAAAAATGTAAATATCTTTTAATAAATAATTTTCCGGCAATGTAAAAATAAATGATATTTCCTTTGGCAGTAATAGCTGATTTAATCTTTCGCTGGGAAGTTGCTTTGCTCATAAAATATCATTGTGCTAGAGAAAAAAAAATATTATTTTGTTGTTTTGAAAGACTTTTGTAATCCACAATAAACTGGGTGACTCTACTTATGTCCGAGATAAGCGCCAAGAGTGATGCAAGCTCCCACCAGAACCAGACTCAGGATAGTCTTCAGAGAGATCCAGGAGAAATCGAACAAAGGCCTCATACTGTTGCCATACAACTCCACAAAGGCATCCTAAAAAGGAAAGTAATCAGAAAGTGAATATCAGAATTGCAGTAACTTTTTTTTGGGGGGTGGGGGAAGCAACTTGTTCACCCTCCATGGTCATCCAACAATCCTGCTGGCATAAGAAAACCACACAAACCTCTTAAAATAGTGATTCATGAGCTCTGTTTTTCGTGCAGTGCTTAGCGAAAAGTTCTCCTGCCTATTTCTTTACAAATATTGCTGTAATTACTTACAGCCATGACTTCTGCTTTAGGCATGCCTAGTCTAACAGAAAATACAGGAGCAGCATTTTAAAATACAAGTTACCACTATTTCGGGTCCTGGATGTTGTTTATACAAACATATATGAAGGAGGTAAATGGACTTTCATTCTCCAGTCTTTCATTTCCACTGGACTTGGGCACCTATACTACTGGTCAGCTTCACTGAAAATAAGGCAGTATTTGTTTGATTCCCTTGGTATGGTTCAGAGACTATGTGTAGCAGCCACAGATGTTTCTTCCATATGAACTGAAGCTGTTAAAGTTGTGTTACACCTATGATGGTCTTTCACAACCGTCACCAAGGGTGATGCCGTGGTCCTGGGCTCCAGGAAAATCTGGTGCACGTAGGCACCAAATGGAAGGGCTGTTTAAGCAGCAAAGATAAAGTTTTTGTGACTCATAAATACAATGGGATTTGACTGGGCTAGTAATTGGACTGGTGATATTCTGCACGTAATGCCTTTCTTTCAGGCTGCAATTCCTAACAAGCATGAAGCTTCAGAGCATTCCTGAGAGACAGATAAATCATACTGTATGGCATGAAAGCAGTAAATAGCTGAGCTGAATGACTTTAAAAATGTGACAAACCTGATAGCATCATTTATGGCAACTCTTTTACTGTGCACTCAGCTAAGGTCTGCTCCGAAACTACTGAGATAAACCCATGAAACAACTATCTAACATGGGCGTTTCTGTCTTACTTTTATGACTCTAGAGTTCCCATTTTTGGTGGAAGTTAACATTCTCTAACAATGTTACAGCGCGTTTAACCGTTTTGCCATGTTACTATGCTAGGAGATAACCTGCCTTCTAAAAATGCATATATGTTATGGTTTACAGCAGAAGTTGAGGAGAGAAAGGTCTCCATTATTAATGTAAACCTTCCATCCAAGTTAATTTTCTGCAAATTATGTAGTTAAATTAGCTTCCTTCATTAGCTATCTAGTTATTGTCAGAGTAAGAGTGTTTGTGGTTCCACCACAAGAGGGCGTGTAAGGTTTTTTAATATTTTGACTTCTATTCACTAGATACTGAGCGGGATTCAAATAAATAGTAGATATTTACTTCCAAAATATGTTATTACATTAAGTAATGTTGGTGAATGTTGTACATTACAGTGGATGTAAATAGGTAAGATTTGGTAACAGAACAGCCATAGGCTTTGGCCAACAGAGAGATGTGAAAACACGTCTGCCTCTTGCTATTTCTCAATGCTTGTTCCTCTAAGCAATGATCTTCCAACTTGGGTTTCCAAAGGTATATTCTTAAGTGAAAGCAGCTTAACCTTTTGCAGGGAGGATGGAATGTTTTAATGCAAGCTCTTCATTCCAGAGGGAAATTGGCAAGTTTTGCTTAACTGCCTGTTTTTTGACACAGACATTTGCAAACTCTGGCCTTAATATTCTGCTGTGCTGTTGCTGAGCTGAAAAAGCACACTCAGTTTGCTGTGCAGCTCTTTGGAAAGCTGCTTTTATTTCTCCTTAAGGCTATGAAGTAACACAATATCCTAAAATGTTACAGACTGGGCTAAATCCTGTTGTCGCCAGTAGAGACTCACTGACTTCCACAGGAGCCTTGTCTATACAGGGAGTTCAAGATCAGGCCTTATAAAAATACAAGGGTAAAGTTCAACACTTGGTGATATTATTAAGGGTGAAACAGGGAGGAAATGAAAAAAAACCGAAAAAAACCCTCATGGAAATGCAAGTCCTGTGAAAAGATTTTAACGTTAAGGTTTTTGTGGTCTCTGCCTGTGGGGAAGGTCTCACTTCTGTATATTCATGACAGTCGATGCATACACAGTATCAATATCGAAATGAGCATAATTTGTGCCTCTCTTCAATCCCAGTTTGGGAACATTCCTTCCAGTTTTAATGTGCAACCATTTCCAATGTTTCAGTAAAGCTCCTGGTATTGGGTATGAAGATAGACGGTAACAAGTAAAACTTGGATACAAGGCAAAAGTATGGCATAACCTATGGCTCAAAAATGTGCAGCATGCAGTACTTTTTTGTCCGAGATTATTATAACAATAACACAAACCCAACCTAATGGTGTCTGCACTATATATTACAAGTAGCTCTTTATGATCGTTCCCCCTCTCCTTCTCAAACATCCTGATTAGGCCTATTTCCGAAGCTTGTTTGAACAGCCTGTCACTATTTGTTTAAGTTTCAAACCTGTTTTAAATAAACACATGTCCATTTTATGTACTAAAACAAGGGAGGTGGGGGAAGGGACTTATGACCCATTGCTGAAAACTATTTTAGCACAAAGAGAACCCTAAACAGAATCTTAACTTTCTCATAAGGTTTGTCTCCTGTAAACCCGTGTATCTGTCACTGGATTTTTGTCACCTAAACTGCTCTGTTTAAAAGAAGAGAATCTCAGCTAAAATAAATAAGATTAGGAAAATTGTTTGAAACACTTAATGTCCTTGGAAAAGCACTCTTTATAATGAAAGCAAGGGTCCCCTTGGCAAATAGACTGAGGCAAGTTCTGGCTTGGTCAACCTTTCTGGAAGTTTTATACAATTGGAAAGAAAATCATTGCAGGCCTTGCTTTTAAGACCTTCAAAATTTAATAGGAAGTTATATCCTGGATGTAAAATTATATCAAGGCAGTTAAAAATTATATGGAAAAGAACTCTTCATTCAGCTCTGTAAGTTTTGAAAAAGTCATTTCTTAAGAAGCTTTCATTAAGTCAAATCAGTCTGTTGCTGATTTACTGTGCAACTTCACATTGACTGTTTCTGTGAAGTGAGAAAGGTGGTGGTGGGGAAGGGAAAGATGTTCTGCCTAAGCTCCTCTTAGGCATGAGAGCACCTGAGATGCCCTGCTACCAGGGCTTGATTGGCAGGCCAGGAAGATTGCCCCAAGAGCACCCCTTGCCTGCTGGACTATACACAGGGAGGACAGAGCACGTCCCTGGCTGAAGTTCCTGGCATTTGCAGGGAGTCCAGGACAGAAATGGAGTTTGTCACCCTGGGAGGATTAAGAGGCGTAATAGTGCACTGAGTCAGGGCAGTCTCAAAACAAAGAGATCACACTATCCCATTCTTCCGCTGGCCCAAATTCGGCAGCTCTGATCCAAGAAACAAATGTCATCTTTAATTACACGGGCATTCTTTGCTTGTGGAATGAGTAGAGTCCGTTCAGCCTTGGTCCTTTTACAGCTCAGCCTTCACTCTGGCCTGAGAGGCAAAGCACAGCTTCTCAGCTGCAGAAAACGACATACTGCCCATAGGCTGAGCGACGGCTCCTTACTGAAAATGCAGAGGGAGAAGGCAGTTTCTGCCTAGCATTTCTGACCAAGGGGGCGGTGGGGAGAGCAAACATGAGGAAGTAAAGGCTTCCTTTTTCTACCTGAATCAAACAGCTGGTGAGGAAGTGACTTTATTTCCCTCGTTATCATTGGGCTGGCAGGATATCCTCTTGAGCCACATTGTATTGAATGAAGAGCCTGTGAGACTTCCATTTTACTGAACGGGAATTGCCTTGTGGCTATTTTATGCTGCCCTCTCTGTGACTCCAAAACAAACAAACAAACACACACTAGCTCTGGCTTTTGAAGAAACTTGCACAGGTCTGAACAAGGCAGCTTTGCAACACAGCACAGGGCAGGAGAGGGAATGGCATATGCTTCGATGCCAAGGTTTAGCAGCTAGATGACTTTTCCCTCACCCCTGCCTCCAAATGAATGACATAAATTCTCATAAAAGCTTTCATTCCTGTATGGTAACTCATTTCAGAAAGAGTTTGGGGAGGGAGGGGGTGGACAGAGCTGGTTAAATCGTCCCATGTTTTCTATGCAGTGAAACCTCATTAAAATGTCATCTTGAAGCTAACAAGAAAAGTTCTTGGAACACAAATAATAGACAAATGTGTAGCTGTTCTTTTCCCAAAGAGTTTATGGGTCTTTTATGCAAGCCTATGTGGTGAGTAAATGCAAATAAGGACAGCTCAGACTTTGGCTGTGTTGTGCCAAGGTGTGGCGTTTCACAAGGTCAGTATCTTTAGAGATGCCGATATCTTTTTACACCTGGGAGTGCCGACATGCTGGTAGTCCTGCCAGGTGCACATTATCAAATTATAATGGTAAGGAAAAGAAGGTGTCACCACACAAGCCCTGCTGATCATGGAAAAAGAACCTGCCAGGTGTGTGGCTTTGGCACGTGAACCCCCGAACAAATTCCCACCTGGCTTTTTTTCTTTCTCCCCTTCACCTCTGCTTGTGGTAGAAAGGGGTCTATTTTGGGGACGTGGTTTAGTGATGAACATGGCGGTGCTAGGTTAGTGGTTAGGCTCGATGACGTTAGAGGTCTTCTCCAATCTTCTATGATTCCATGATGCTATTTTGAATCCCCTGTTTCCACAATGCCTGACATAGTCATAGGTCTGCAGCTGATGTGTTAATTGCTGGCTGCATACCCTTTTGTTTCTCCAATGGTCCCTGAGGTTTCTGACTTTGGACAAAACCGGTTTCATCACAGTAGTCTTGCCTAACTTCTTTGTTCCTTGTCCTTGCTATCTATTTGTATAAATTCTTGCATCGGTGAGCCTGTGATCTTGGGGATGCGTCTTCCATGTCCTAGTCTTGCCAGGCACTCACTGTAAGGTTGTGTGAATTGAAATCGGTGGAAATATTATTTGCATAAGACTGGCTAAATGTGGCACTCGGAAACATCTAAGTAGCAAGGACTAATTGTGGTTAGGTTTTCGTATGAAAAGTGATGCATATGC